CTTCAGTCTGTCACAACATGCTCGACTTGGTTTCCCGTTTTTCGATCTGGAGACAGACATGTAGCTCGATGGATCTTTTTATGCTAGAACCCAGTACTATATACTACCAAGTTTCGGGCCCCGGCGAAGTCGATCAGCATCAGCCCGTTATCGAACGTTTCGTTGTGGAGGCTGATTTTTTCGGCAGTGGCGCCAAAGATCCCTTCGTTGCCCACCTTGGCATTACAATCGCCAAGCATGATTTTTATACGTGTCGGGTAGCGCTAATATGTACCCTCTAAACGCTCATAGAAGATATGCTTAAATGCCTCGTCCTTCCTTCCATCGGGGCATTGGCACATATGAGGGAGATGTTGAAGAATCTCGCTTTGATGCGAATTGTGGCTAGACGTTCGTCCACTAGAGTGAACGGCGGTACTCGGCGACGGAGTGTCTCTCCCACCACGAATCCAACACCGAATTTGCGCTCCTTTACGTAGCAACTGTAGTAGACGTCGCAACGCTCCTTGCTTACCTTCCCTTGCTCCGTCCATCGCATTTCATGGATGGTGGTGATGTCAGCCTTTATTTTCCCTAGGACACCAACCAGCCGGGCAGCCCTATTAAGGGTTCGGATATTCCAGGTTCCTACGTTTGCCGTGATCATCATCAAAAGAAGGGAGTATCCGAGGCATGAGTTTTTTTCATTGGGCAGGGTTTTAACGTGGCGGGACCCAAACCCAGCGCAGGGGTTTTACGCCCCCCAATTTAGCTTGCTCGCAAACGGGTGTTTGGCTGGTACCCAGATTCATGGATATAAATATCCGGACGTAGTGAGTTGCGATTTGAACCGTAAGCATACGGATCACTTCTGGCCACTCCCAGGTGAATTGCAGTCAAAAGCTATGCAGTACTGGGAAATGTATAGAACATAGTGGTCAAAGGCGAATAGCTCAACTAAGCCCTGATGTATTTTTTAAATTCATAACTCTACATACCTGTATAGTTAACCAAATAGCCGGACAAGACGTTGTTGAAAATAAAAACTGTTCTCTGTATTATTCCTCCGCAATTTTGTAAGATAAACTATCGATTTATAATTATAATAATTGTTTTGCTCCGAAATATCTTCTCTAAAATGATATTGTACATATGTTTAAGTATGGAGATTTTTTATCCTGGTATATTCATTTATGCCAAATATAATCTGCCTTATCCTGAGTTTCGCCTGAAAAAAAATTCACCCGAAAATTCGTCATCCGCCCATAGTAAAATCATGGAAACCAAGAGTGAAAAGTGAACCGGTTCGGGGAAAATGAAACTCATGATAAGGCTGATTATTTTTTTTGTTTTGTCACACCGTGTAATAAATAAAAAATTCGTTAAGGACCGTTATAATTACTTAAGAAGCAAACGTCTTGGCTGTCTATAGTTTTATCAATAATCTCAGATTGGTTGTCTGATACAAACTTTCAATGTCCGCTTAGAAGACACAAACCTAAAGACAAACTAATAAACAATTGAACTATAAACTTATTTATTAGTTTACTGATCAATCACTTTTCGCTCATTGTCGACTGCGGCCAGGTTTTTACCCTTCTCAAGTCGGAGTGCTTTGAAGTTAGCGAGAATAACTTGATACAGGACCGGATGATCCACTTTTTAAATCAATTTGCTAATTATTTTGGTAGCACTGAGTGCATAATTTTTTATATAGTACGTTGGAAAAAACTTGAAATTCAGGGGTGGGGGGCGAAATTATCGAGGGGCGAAATTATCGAGCATTTCCAGGTACTATTTTTGAATATACAGACAAACATTTGGAAATTAGGGGGAAGCGCCCGAGCCCTCTCTTGCCCCTACCTGGCTACGCCCATGTGCAAGAATATTAACTTTTAGGTGTCTCGCGTAGACATTTTGTGCCTCCGCCTCAAGTGCTTAAAATTACTATTCCTTCATTCCGTGAGCACATGAAATCCTTCATGAAATTGAAGTTTTTGGTCGAGACAATTTTTGAGATATAAGGAAAAAGTCTTTAAAAAAGAGAAGAAATCCAAAATTCGAGTTGAAAAGTTGCTTATTTATTTGAGAAGGGTTCCCAAACTTTTTTCACCGCGGCACCCTTGTTGTGCTAAAAATTTCGCGGCACCCCTACTCTTCAAATGTCCACGAAACAAGAAAATACAATGCAAAGTTTATGCTCCTTTAGCTTTAATGTGGGGACTGAAATCGTTTTAATGATTTCATTATTTCCTTCAAGTTTATTGGGAGCTTTGACAATTTTACCTTGAAATCAGTTGACGATGAAAGCTTGCTAGTGTATTGGTTTTTGACTGACTTCACAAGAAGGAGAAGGTTATCAATTCGTCGGAATATTTTTTTATTATTATTTTTTATGTATACTACCGCATAACTTTGGACCACGCTGACGGATTATTATAATTTTTTTTTTAAGGAAAGGTGTTACCTCACAGTTGGTCCCATTATAATTTGGTTTAAATCCGATCATTGGATCATGAAGAAAATAACGATAATCTTAAAGTTTTATATGGGAATTGAAGTCGGTTTTGTTTTTTGCTTAAAAATTACATGGTTATGTAAGATATGTGGTAAATACAGTCTCATATAGAAATGTAAATGCAAAAGTCGCTAGTATTATTAATGAAATCTTGCCAACAGCAGTGTTTTCTGCATACACTTGCATCCAGAACTCTCTTGGCTCCCTTCGTAGTATTTAATATTCAAAGTGCTGTCTTCACTGACGTCCGGAAGGTTTTCAAAAGCTTAATTTGTCATCTCAGTAGGTTTACTTTCAGGGTCACATGAAAACGGGTTTGGTATCCAACTGTAGACATTCTCAGAGTAAATTTTGGGAAAATATTCGACAATGGTTTTTCTAAACCTTCCAAGTAAACGCTGGTAATGCGCGTTAACGCTAAGAAAATAACTCTTACAGCCAATTTCACGAAAGCAATTTAAGTGAAAAATTATTTTAATTTTTTGAATATTATATGGAAATTGACAGAAAATTAAAAATCATTTTCCATTTAAATTGCTGGTGAAACCGACTGTTATCAATTTTCTTAGCGTTAACTTCGAAGTTACATATGTACACTCAGAGAAAAACGGCGTTCTAAAGTCCAGCACCAGCGGCCTCCTTATTCATATTTTGTGTTCTTATTTACTTGTTCTTAAAACAGGAACATTTGTTCTTAAAATATCAGTATCCGTTCTTAAACCAAGAACACTATGCTTGAATTAAGAACAATGTTTCGGAATTAAGTATCTATGGTCTTCATATTCGAACATATGTTATGTAAACAAGAACACTGTTCTTAAAGTAAAATGAGAGAGAATTATGAAAAACAAACGGTACTTGTCGTGCGCGCAGTAGTCAAAGCCAGTGCTGCCAGAAATAATATCCATTTAGGGCCAGAATCTCCAGGAAAGGGACTACAACTAATCTTCTTTAGATACCTTTCGAAAGATATCTTTATCCTCAATGCGTTGATTTTTGTGTCAATCGGAATAGTACTTTTTGAGTTTCAGGTGTTTAAATTCGAAATTTAAGGACATTTTCAAGCTTTTTCAAAAATGGTTAATTTTTGTTCATGATAGAATTTGTAAAAAAAGAATAATTAAAAAGTGTATGATGAAGGACAATTTGATAACGAAAATGTGAAGCATAAGAGTGCCCAAATGGGGCAGAAAATCTTAAATCTTTGACAAATTTAATAAAAGCGGCCAATTTAAATTTTTGCTACAATTACTCATTCAGTTGAAAATGTATTTTTCCACACAAACAGCTTAAAAAAGCACATGCTTAAATTTAGTGTTTAAAATTAAGTAAAGATTTTTGGAGCCTCAAAGGGCTGTTTCAAATTTAAAAGGGCTAAAAATAAGAGCTAGGGGCTAAAAGCATATTTCTGGGGAAATTTAAAATAATATGAGCTTAGATTTAGCCCCAAAATTTACAAAATGGCAACACTGGTCAAAGCAACCAAAGCGCTTGCATTCAGGGCTGCACCAACAAGCTAACAGGAAGTACATTTGCATCGCTACTCACATACCAACATTACTGTATTTATCAAACCAAATCTGAATTTGTAAGCATTTCTAAACATAGTTTTTTTCTGCATAGTGTATGTAGCCAATCTAACATTAAACTACAGCTTATGGTTCTTTTAAAAGCATATTGTTATCGCAACTCCGAATCGCAAATATAAAATTTTGTTCGCCATAATTTAGAATAACGACAGTTTAGCTATGGAAACCCCAAAATGTGACTCGGTAGAACTGTTCATGCTGATTTCACCCTTGACCCTTTAAAAAAGTAAATATTAATGACAATTTAAAGATAATTTAAATACGAACATTTTATACGTTTTATTTCTATTTCTATACCATAGTATTAATTAAAAAATTTTCTTCAAAAAAGGTTATTTTATGAAGAAATTATTTTTTTTTTTAGTGTTCCGGAATAGAATGCACGAATATTCATTAACATTATAAACCATCAAAATGTTTTGATTCTATTTTTAAATCTTATTGTAAAATGATTAATGCGGCAACACTGACGCTTAAAAGATTTTCTTGATAAACTGCACTACACGGCAGCACTGCTTTTACTAATTCTCTTTTTACATGGCATTCGCATAAATTAAAGGAATCCATTTGCATTGCACCTGTTTTCTCTCGCTCGGTCAAGTGCATTCCGGCAATAAAGTCAAGTTTTGTTAAAATTAATTTTTCGTTTTATTCATCAACAAAGAGCCGGATCGTGCTCGACTAAACGTGGAATAAGCTACATAAACTACAATTATGCAAAGAGACTGGGCGGACTTGGTACAACTACGCGGCCGCCTGAAAGGCTCAATTTCGCGCACGCTGGCCTACGCAGAAAGGCCACCGGTGGACTGCACAGTGGAAGATGTGTCTTCGCGCTTGGAACGTTTACAGGATCTCTGGGAAGAGTTCACCATCATAACCACAGCGATGTATAAGTTCTGCAGATTATACAGATCCTAACGCGGACTTTGAAATATACGAAGACAAGGTTATGTCAGCACGTGGTCGGCTTCGCACATTGCGTAACGAGTTGCAAGCACCGGTTAAAGAGGAGCAGTCAATCTCTCTTGCGAAATTAGTTGAACAGCAAGCATCATTTTTGCAACAGTTCACGGCGGCGCCCATACAGGCAGCTGCACCCAAAGAAAGCGACTTGCCAAAAATTATTATACCGCCGTTTACGGGCCAGTATAAGGCGTGGCCGTCGTTTAAAGACCTCTTTGTTAGTGCTGTCCATGAAAAAGCTAACCTCACTAACACGCAGAAGTTCCACTATCTGAAATCATTTTTAGAGGAAGAGGCCGCGCGAATGTTTATGCATATTCCAGTGACTGATAAGTCTTACGATACGGCATGGGCACGGTTAAACGAACGATACGATCGACCGCGTCATATTGTCGCATCATTTATTGAAACCTTTGTGGCACTGTCCTCAACCATTAATGAGGATGTAAAAGCTTTACGCAAAATTTCTGCTGGTGCCAACGAGGTTATACGAGGCTTGGACGCTATCGGAAGGGGTGGGCGCGACTGCTGGCTGATCTACTGGCTGGAGTCCAAGTTATACACTGAATCAAGACGTAAGTGGATTGAGGAGAGCAAAGAGGTTAGTGTGCCTACAATTACTGATTTTTTTAAGTTTTTGGACTCTCGCTGCGAGGAACTTGAATTGACACACCCAAAGCCCTCTTTAGATGGCAAGATCTCCTCACCATCCAGCAACAAATTACGTAACTCTACCGCACGGGCATTTGTTTCCATCGACGATTGCAGCGCAACTCATAAATGCATCAAATGCGGTTCCACGAATCACACAATTCAAAAATGTCCAACCTTTTCAAGCATGTCTTTTCAAGATCGTCGTCTGCTAGTCAAAGACAAATCGCTCTGTTTCAATTGCCTAAGGGCAGGGCATACGTCGAGTACATGTGTATCTAAGTTTCGTTGCAGACGTTGCAACCGACGACACCACACTATGTTACACGCCGAGTCTTCTGGGCCGATTCCGGAAGTACCGTCAACAGCACCGGCAGCATCACCACATGTTTCAGTGACACCCGTTGCGTCCACAACAGCAGGTAAGCCTTGGTCTACCGCAGCTCATGTTTCACAGCCATCGTATTCGTTCGTCACTCCTATTGACTCAGACGCACTTCCTCTTTCCGAAAAGTATCGTAAGGCTCTATTACCTACCGCCCTAGTCAGCGTTCGCACTGCTCACGGTCACTTCATTCCATGTCGAATGCTAATCGATTCTGCTTCCGAACTTTCCTACATATCGGAGCGTTGTGCCCAAAAGCTTGGTATTCCACGCTCACCATCTCGAATTGTTGTCACCGGCATCGCTTCTTCAAGGGCTGAGACAACGTGTGGTCGTATTTCCTTATTCATTAAGTCACGTGTGTCTGAAAACACCCTCGCCGTAACTGCCCACGCGTTAAGTAACATAACTACGAGGTTGCCAGCGACAACCATTGACATAAGCTCCCTAGCGCAATTGCAAGGCATCCAACTGGCTGACCCCACTTTTCACATTTCGTCAAGAGTGGAT